AGAAGAAGAAGAGAGAGAGAGAGAGAGAGAGAGAGAGGAGGGAAACACGCGTGTCTACGACGGCACCAACGGCCGCCCTCATTCTCCTCCTTCCTTCTCCACTCAAGCGGGGAAACCCCCCCCAAAACACACAAACTGAAAAAGAAAAAGAAAAGAAAAGAATCCCACTGACTTCCACAGTTAGAAATACAACATACACAAAAATGAGGTTCATTCGTTTTCTTCTTTGTTTTGCGCTGCTTACGTGCAGAAAGCAATGGATCTGCCGGCGGTCTCAACGCCAATGCACACAAAGCAAAAAAGGAGGGTGTGCAAAAGTGTGCAAAAGGCGCCGGTTCTTCCCTATTCTGTTTCATTCACGTCCATCTGTCGTTGAGATGATCCCCGGCATCGATGCCCCCTTCTTCGTTAAGTTAACTTTCGTATCCGCCCGCTGCGATGTTTCTTCCTCTTCTTCGCTGTTATTGTTGATGGAGGCGGCGTCAACAGCCCTGGCCACACGCACGTCAAATTTGTGATGTTTTGGCGAGTGCGGGGGACGGCGGGTTGACAACTCCGGCCTCAGTCAAAACAACAGGAATTGGGGGAAAAAAAAAACGTGAAGAAAAACAGCCAAGAAAATAAAATAAAAATAAAAACGGGTAATCCAAAGGAAAAAAGTCGCCCACACACACAGATATGCATGTAGATACATATATATATATACACACACACATATATATATCATGCGTGTGTATGGGCTTTGGGTCCACCTTGCAGCTTCTGCAACTGCGGTTTCATCCGGGGTGCGTCTGTCGCCATCTGCAAAGCGCCGCCGCAAATGCGAGGGACAACAATCACCACAAAATTTCATCCTGCACCATCATCACTCGCCCTTGCGCCGACGCCGCCCCCCGCAGCTGCCGCTCTGCATAAAGAAAACACATATATAGGCGTATGCCTCTCCAAACTCTACCCACCCCATCTCCTTTTTATATGTTACTTCATCTTCCTCATCGTATTCTTTTTTTATTCTTAGTTTCTTTTTTTGTTTTCTTGCTTCTTTTTTTTTTTGTCTTTTCCTCGCTCACTGCCCTCTCCCCCCCCCCCCCCCCCACCACACACGCACACCTCGAGTTGCCTGTACCTCGCATTCCATTAACTGGCGCCGTTGATGCGTTCATATGTGTTCTTCCCGCTGCACGTATAAAGAAGGAAAAAAGTAAACTCACCCATGCTTCGCAGAGGTCTTCCTCTGCAACGTTTCCAGATTAAGATGCGGCAGTATAAAGACCCATGTCTGATGGAAGTCGCGGCAAACCCGCTGCCTCAGCCGCTGCCTCATAATTTGTGTGACACCACGGCGCCTCTATGTTCCCATCTTTAGTCGCGACATTCACCCAGTGACCCAGCAAAAAGTACTTGGACTGCAGCAGCTCCACCGCCGTCGGCCGCCTTGCTGGGTCATACTGCAGACACAGCCGCAGCATCGCCTTACACTCCTCGGAAAGCTGCGATGGCAGGGGTACTACGTTATCGTTCCTCAGGAGGTATCGTTTAACATTTTTCAGCCAGGCTGCATCATACTCATTCTTCTCCTGTCGTGTGCGGGGCAGTTCCATGTTGGCGGGGCGCAAGTCCCCAAAGACACCGCCATTGGGCGTGGTCAACTCAATAAATGTCATGGCAAAGGCGTAAATGTCGCTTGCAGGCGCAAAGGAACCCCCCCGCGCAATCTCCGGGGCCATGTGCGTGACACGCCCCAGTCTGTGCACAGCTTCACTTTGATTCCCGACAATAATAGACCGGATCCGGCCATAGTGGCCTAACTTAATGAGTGGTTTGCGTGGGCGACGTACCGAGAGTCTCTTTTTTGGGGGGTGCATTGGCATTTCGCTCATTACACAACCGTTTCCCGAACTATCGATTTGTGCATGCATTCGGCCCTCAACACCTAAAGGGACTAAAGAAACGTCTTTGTTAAAGGCGCCGCCATAGCTTGGCTTAACCAGGTTATGAGAAGATTCGCCGGGTAACACAGGGAATGGAAAAACTGGAGCCGGGGACAGATGTTGCGTCGATCGTGCAAAGGACCCATTGCGCACAATGGTAACCCCGTCCAGGGTTGGACTGTTGAAAACCTCCGTCTCCTCCACGCCTGAGAGTGGGGAGGGAAGGGGTATGTTGTCGTCCTCTGTGTATGCGTTCTCCTGCAGGAACATTTTCACCTCTAAATCCATCCAACGACACCGGTCCTCCTCACCCTCATTTTCATCCGCGTTGTTGTTTTGATTTCTACTGTTATTGTTATTGCCTGCTGCTGCTGCTGCCGCTGCCGCTGGGTTGCCTGGTGACGCGGCTTGAAACTGTTGCCCTTGTCCACCTTCTACGACGATGGGGGGTGCTGTCACAGACACTTCCGCGTCGCCAGGGCTTTGCATGGCGGAGTTTTCCGCTGTATAAATCACGCCGAGGTGTGTCATGATACTGTCGTTGGGCACTCGACCATCTCCCGAGTCGTACTGCGGCTGCATGCACTCTGGATCCATAAGCGCCAACACGCGGCGCACCCACGCCGCTGGGACTTTTGCAAACCTCCCTGCCGGAATATCAGCGATGTACGCAGGGAAGCAGGTGGCGTAAACATCGTTTAGGTGATTCGAGATGTAAATATTCTTGGCACAGAGGTCTGAGTGAACAACGTTGTTCTCATGAAGAAAGGCCAATGCCATAAGAACCTCGCGAAGGTAAGCCCGCACTGTGAGCTCATGCATGTACAATTTGCCAAATTTGCAAGGGGTTTCGTTGAGCAGCACATTACGCAGGGTGCCGTACCTGGCGTACTCCATGTATATGCGCACCTTAGCCGGTGTCTCATGGCAGTTGCACGCTGATGCTGCTTGTCCGCCAATATTAAGATTGTGCTTTGCACTGCCCGTTCCTACTGAAGAATAAAAGCTTATCCCCTCCAGGAATTTTGAACGCGTACTGGCCTCGGATCCAGCTGACTTGGGGTCATTGTATACGGGCTCCATTTGAAGCACCTTCAGTAAACGTGGACTATACGTGAGGCGTGTCAATTGTTGAACTTCTTTCCGCAGTTGGTTGTGAATGTACGAGGCGCTATTCTCAGCCAGTGTATACTCCTTGCATGCAATAAGATACTTGGGGGAGGTGTACAGCGTCGTGGTCGGCGCCTTTGTCACTGTTGTTCTTAGTGGGGCCCTATGTGTTCCATCCCTGCAGCAGTTTAAATGCGCCTCTATCCCTCCCTTCACAAGCGCGTCGGCTGTTGTTATGTGCACCACCATATCTGCCAGCGTGACTTTGCTGAAGTAACCCTGGCCAATGACGTGGTTGACGGGGGCCACTTGGTAGAGCGTCAGCACACCGTGCTTCCCCGCAGCATCTGCGGAACCGTTTTTGTTCTTATTGCCGTGGACACCAGCCTGAGACGACGCTGTGCCCAGCGGCTTATCCAACGCGGTGGCTGACCCAAAAAAGGTTTTTCGCGCATCCTCTATGCGGGCGTCGTACCACTGCAGCAAGTCATCAGCCGGGACAAACGGCGGAATATCCCCGCCATCGCTCGCGTCATCTTCATTCCCGGTCGGGGGTTTCCTCCCGGAGAGTTTCCGCCTCTGCTTGTGCAAATGCCACTCTTCGGCCTTCATCTTTGACTGCTTGCAGCCCATTGTTGCCCGTGCGGTTGGGAAGTCGACGATTGGGGTAGTGTACGCCGGTCAGGCAGAAAAAGGGAAGAATACCGTTGATCGTTCTCTCACTCACACCCCTTTGCGCTTCTCGCCCACTCGCTGAGGCGGTGTGTGACCCCCTACGCTACCCACCAAACGCAGTAACGTAAATACGTGTACGCACACACAAAAACAACAACAACAACAACAACGCCGGTTTATTGCAGCTTTGTGTGTGGAAATAGTGCCTGTGCGTGTGTTGTAGTCGACGTGCGTTGTGGTTTTTGGACTGCAGTCGGCGGGCAAAAAAAAAAACGTGCCACAGAAGAAGAGGGGAAAAAGAGAGAAGAGAGAAGAGAGAAGAGGGAGGGAGGGAGAGGCGCAGAAAAACGCATAAAGCCGTGTCCTTGCAAACATCATCCTCGTCCACGCATCCACACAAACACTCTCTCTGTCCTTCACTCTGACGCTCCCCATCTCCCTCCTGTGTTGCCACCCAGATTACCCAGCCCTGCCACAGGGATCCATGTCACCCCCAAATCCTAGCACCCCGCACCCGTCCACGCTTCCTTGGGTGGTTGTGTGGTGGGGCGAGGCGCACAAAGGAAAAAAAAAGAAAAAAAAATGCAACTCGCATGGAGATGCCTACAAATAGGCAAAGCCAGACACACACGCACATACATGCACAGAGTGAAAAAGGCGCATATGCAGCCATACTCCTTGCCTGTTCCTTCTTCAGCTACACGTTGAATCTAACGGAGCCGATTCTGCCCGATTCTGTTGGCGCAGTGAATCCACCACGAGCCACAACGGGCACTCACTTTTGTCAATCGAACCATCGGCATCATCATCTGTCTGTTGAAGGCCTCCACTGGCGGCAGAAGCAAAGGAAGAGAGTGTCGCAGTGGCGGCGTCAAGGGATAGAGGATGCAGAGCAGTCACCGCCCTCGCACGCATACTCTGCCAGCGGGCCTCATCGCGTTCTTGTTGCTGACGCCGAGTGACTAGCAAATCCCTCGTGGCGCGAGACCTCTCCTGCATGAAGCTTGTGACCGCCTGAACGTAATGTCGATACCGCAAGAGTGTCTCTTGTGGCTGAAAATGGCACAACAGCCACGTTTCCATATGACGTCGCAGCAACCGAGAGGCCCCGAGAGTTTGCATCAGTAGGTCTCTCTGTGACAGTGCCTGGGCGCTGGTGTTGGCAGCGTCCTCCAAGCACGGCCATCGCATGCCCACGTTGCTTGTGAAGATGTGGTGCATGACGTCTGTCATCTGTTCCAACGTAAAAGGGATCAATGAATTCATCCATCTCGTGCAGTCACGATGCTCACTTGTATGAGTGAAAAGTTCGGAGCCACTATGCGTCCTCTGCTGCTCTGTGTACTCCCGTATAACGCTAGTGAAGAGGTGTATGATGGTCCGCAACGGCCGCCGTCGCCGCATCCCCGACGCCCCGACTCGATCTGTCTCAGACGGATCATCCGCTTCGCCCGCTTCGTCGCCCGCTCCTGTCGCTGTGGCTGCGTCCACGACGAATGACGTTGACGCGGGGCCAACCGCAGCCGCGGCAGCGTCCCTCGCCCGTCGCCGTGCCGTGATGCACAGGGGCGAGAAGACTGCTGGTGGTCCACCCCACCACCGCCGTTCCGGCCTCACCACCGAGGCCGCTCGCTGGAGCCGACGATCAAAGTCGTTCAACCTCGCCACAACCCCCTCATAAAACCCTGCCACGACGACGCGCTTGTACCACGTGCGAACCACCAGCCGCTCCCACAACTCCCCCAATTCCGCCTTCTGGCGCAGCAAGACCGCCACATCTCGGCGTTGTTTGGCCAAGGCCCGGTGCCGCTCCGCCTCCACCCCGTACTGAGAGGCGGTCGGCCACGCGTGGCTCGTCGTCGTCAGGCGAAGACCGCCAACAGCCCTTGTCGCGTCCGTATCACCAAACAAAAGTTTGGACGCAAGGCGTTGCTTCGCAAGAACGGCGCGGCGCAATTTGCGACACTCCGCGTGAAGTGTTGCGGCAGCGTCTTCCAGTCGATGAAGTGCCATCATTGCGTCGTGTCTCGCATACTCGCAAGGGCTGGCGCCGCCCGGGCACTGATGTTGCTGCTGCTCTTCCTGGCTCATCACCGTGAGTTGAGAGAGGAAGGGAGGGGGGTCTAGGTGGAAGCACGAGGTGGCACCACCAGGAGGAAAGATGAGGAAAAGTTGGCAAACACCATTCCGTTGCAAAGAGAAAGAAAAACAGGGGATGGCAAGAGAGGCGACCATGCATCCACACACGCAAAAGAAAAAAAATAATTCAGACTCATGTATACATACATGTATGTATATTCCAGTTTAGCTCCTCCCTCCCTTCTCCGCCGCACTGTTTGTGTCTCAAACTCCGCAGTAGAGAGAAAGTAGAAAGCAGAAGAGAAAAAAAAAAACAGGTAACAACTGTGTAAGCAATGTTAACACCCGCATTGCTCACAACACACACGCAGAAGAAGAGAGACTGGAGGAGAGATATAGATAGATAGACACACAGAGAGAGAGAGAGACAAACAAACACAGACACATGGCTGTGGCCTTGTAAATGGAAACGATTCCCTTTTCATGCACGTACACTGTTTTTTGTTACCTCGTACGTACTCCCTACATTCCGCGGTACGTGTGGTGAATCTGCAACCTCCACCTGGGGCAAATGTGTTGGTGAGACCTCACCCACATGGAGTTGCTTATGCAGCACGCGAAAATATATGATCTGCCCAACAACAACGAGGTCAAGGGACAACTGAAAGCATCCACACAGAATAAACGGGAACGGCTGGTGATCAAAGATAAAGTAAAAAACCTTAATTATGTCCCCCACGAACCATGTGAGCACTAGTGCTATGGTGAGCCCCTGCGTTGATTTCCGTCGGTCGTTGCGCAGTATCTGTGGAAGGACAAGCAATGCCTCAATGCCCAACGCCAAGTAGCCAATGACCTCCGGTGCCGCAGCCCACACAGTTCCGATTGTTCCGTAGTAGACAATGGCCACAATAATAACCACCGCTGTCCACAGGGCATATTGCCGGATGAAGGTCACTGGAAAATAAGTGAGAAACGCCTGTTCAAGACGACAGGCCTGAGCATCCATTCTTGCCAGGATGGATCGTGGGGAAACCGCCGTGGTGACGACTTCCCCCCACCGAATGGGCCCTTCTCTATTTTCCAGCGGCCCCACCGCAACATCAGCAGCAGGAGAGAGTATTATCTCGGCAGGCTCATCCTCCAACCCCTCCGTTCTCGGGTCCTGGCCCTCTGGGTTCCTGGAGACGGAATGTGTCATGTGCAGCACAATAATGAGGAGCGCAGTGTGCACCAGGATGGCAAATACGGCCTGAAACAGGAGAGCCAAAGCAAAGTGGTGGCCAAAAAAATACACTATGCGGATGCTGTTGCTGACTAGGAGGATCAACGACACCAGTGGGGAGTATCCCTCCACATTCCTGGTAAAAGTCATTTCATGAAGCTGAAATACATAGCCAATGTGGGGTCCAAACACCATACCAATGGAGAATGCAATGTACAGAAATTCCTTCCAGGACATATATGTGCCATCCTCGACCGGGTCAAGACCATTCGTCGGAAGCCTCCCAGGAGAACTCCTATGCAATAAAGTATCCCATGACAAAGTCATCGCAAATTCCAGCCTGATCCTTGTATTACCCTTGTGTGTTACTCTTTCTCTCCACGTATGGACTCCTTCCGTTCGGCTCACTTAGAGCACCTCCGAACTATTATTAAGCGTTGCTGCTGCCGTTTTCAGTGTTCCGCTATATATTTATTCCTTCTCACTTTCACTGCTAATGCCACGCGGCACACACTTTGACCGAGGCGTCTTTTTGAGTAGGGAAAAAGGAAATGAATAAGAGGCATTCAATACAGCAACATGCAAGGCTCGCTATGCATGCTTGCGGCAAGAGTAAGTGAACGAGTGGGATGCTAGAAGCAGGAAATACACTCGGCACATTCACCAATTATACCCATTCACGTCATGTAAACATCTCTCATATATATATATATATATATATATATGTTTTTGTTTTCTCTATGTCCCCTTTTCTGTCTTGAACAAAAGTGTATGGGTCATCTCCGCTTGCTTGCTTTCCCGGCCATATATATATATATATACCCTTCTCTGTGGGAGAAGCAAAGATGCAGAAACAGAGATTAACCAAAAAAAAAAAAAAGAGAAAAATAAAAAAAAAAAAAGGAAACAACTTCACCTCATGTGTTTAAATGTTCAACTGTTACGTGAATAGCGCTAACAGTGCCCGCAGCAGACCCTGATACACTCGTTTGCCGCGCGTGTTCCGTTTGCGTGGGGCTCGCCTCAGCAGAGGTGAGACGCAGGCACTGCAGCACCTTCTCTCCAAAGGGAATGAGCTTTTGCAGAATTTCTATGGCTGCGGCAATCGTCGGCGTCGTTCTCGCTGCTGCTCCGGCTAAAGAGGTCTGCTGTGCTGCTGTGGCTTCCCGCGGGGCCTCCGTGCTGCTGATCCCAGCAACCGCTCGCCCATCATCCGGAAAGGCGTCCGCGTAAAGTGTCTCCAATATCGTCTGGAGCCCACTCACTGCGTCACGCAATTTCAGCTCGCCCGCAGCACGCACACCATCGGGGGTGCTGAGGATGCCCCACAGCACGGCGTACACCTGCCCCGTCAGTGCGCACTGCTGCACCACCGCCATCAGCTCTTGCTGCGATGCGCTAGAGAGAAATTGCGAAGAGGACGCTCGGTGTACCGCCCTAATCGCAGAGAGACAATTGGTGGACTCTTGCAGTATGGCGTGCAGGGGCGCCACGGTGTTCATTGAGGCGACTGCGATGTCCTGACCGGCCAAGTTTGCCAGCGTCAACAAACTCTTGGCAAGCACATCGAACACGGCCCCGTCATACACGTGGGCGGTGGACTTTCGTCCGCTGCCCTGGCGATACTCCGCTGTGTGCAGTCGAACCAGAGTCGACACCGCAATGTTGCTCACCACACCCTCGGCCAAGATCTCTGACACGCCCAGTGCTGCCTCGGTAGGAAACACCGCAGAGATGCCCTCAACCTCGCCGCCCTCCTCCCCACTCTGGGAGTTCGGCTCGGTAGTGGCCTCAGACAAAGCGGCGGCCTCCGCCACGGCGCGGTCGCCCAAATCCTTGCGCGTCGCAGAAAGATCCGCAAAGGTTTCTAGCGCGTAGAGAAGCATGTCCTGCTGTAACGTAGCCTCCTCCGTGGCCCCCATGGCGGATAGACCCTCAAGTTCAACGCCAAACAGCAGCACAGCGTCAATCGCATCCCGCAGCCCGCCACCATCCCCTGGCATGTGGAGGGCCTCGTACACCATTGGCAAGTTCCTGCTGCAGCCAATAATGCTCCTAAGCGTCATCCAGGCCTTGTGTAACGGTGGTAGAAACGCCAACACTGCCGCCTGATGCGGCGGGGCTGCAGTGGGAAAAAACAACGTTCCCCCGCAGCGACCTCCGATGCTTCCATCACGCATCCCCCACTTTGCATCTGAACCACAAATTTCACGTTTCGCCGACGCTGAGAGCCACACAAGCGCCGCCCCCACCGCCTCCACCGTCCCGTACGCCGCCTGCTCGCAGCGGTAATGCACCCCTGCCGCGTTGTCGTCCGCCTCAGAAGTGAGGAGGCGCGCAAGCACGCCCAGCATCGCGTCCAAGGCAGCACACTGCTCAACGCTGAGCGATCCGGCAACGATGGACTCGTGGGTCGTGCCTGCTATGACGTCTGCGAGTACAGTCTCGCCCTTCGTCCTCGCCGTGCGCCGTGCGCCATCGCGGGAGAGGCAGACAAGGTTAAGAAGAGCCTGCGCTGCCCACGCAAGCCCTTTTGCGCTCAACCGCGAGGACATCGCGAGTGTTCCCAGCACCAACTCCACCGCGCCCTGCTCTACCAGTTCGTCGGCGAAACTCCTCTCATCCCCCGCACTGTTGTTATCCGAGCCCACGCTGGACGGTTCCACCGCACGACCAGCCGAGGAGGAGGAGGATGAAAGCTGGCACATGTTGGCGATGCAACGGCAACAGCGCTCACGCACAACCCCATCGTTGGGGTGCGCAGACATAAGTTGCAGCGTCAGATGTGGTGCTGAGGAAGACGACGATGAGAATGGGTACTCGACACCAGCATCCGTTGCGGCGTTGAAACTACCAGTCGCAGCAGGAAAGGGATTGGAAACCGCATCTGGCGGCTGAAACGAGGCAATTGTCTCGGAATCCGCATCGGTGGAGTCCAGCAACATTAAACGGGCCAACGCTGCGTGCACCAGCACCGCGTCGCCATGCGGATGCTCCGCAAGCACCTGAAGTGTCTCTGGAAGTGTCGCGGTGGGGCACGGCAATGGTGTTTCCCTCGCGTCAAGAAACATCAATCTACTTTCCGCCAATGTAAACAGGCGGAGGAACGAGCGGCGCATCATTGTTGCACTATACCCCTTTTCCCCGTGTCACACACACACACACACACCGTGCTTCGCCCACGCAGCAAAAGAATGAGAAAGCAAAATCGCTAGGAGGAAAGAGAAAGAGAAAGAAGCAGCAACAGTAAGCATCGGTCCCACGCCCACACCTCATCTTTCTTGTGCGCTGTGCACGACCCAGCCTCAGGCTGAAGCGAGTGAAGGAATTAATCGAGTGCACCTGGTTTACCTTCTTGCGCCCGCGTGGGAGTTTGTTTCGCGCCGGTGGCAGGTTTTGTGCCTCCTCACTTCGGCCGCTTAGCGTTCTCCTTCGCCCCCCTCGCCTTTCCAAACCTCCCGCTGTTGTTGTACCCGCCGGAGCGGAACTTGCGCCGCACGACGCCGCCTTTTTTTGAGATGACGTTCTTGTAGGCGAGCTTCCGGGGCTGTGACTGCTCCGCGCGGATCTTCATCGCCCGCGTCTGGTTGTACAATTTGCTCTTCCGCTTCTTTGGCACGAAGGTGCGTCTCTGCGACTTCGCAGAGCGCCGGAGTTGGTTGTTGCTACGGCCCATCACACCCGGGAGGAGCGGAGCGGCTGGCTAATTCCCTTCCGCCCAAGTGAGCGAGAGCGATCAAAAAAAAAAAAAATAGGTGCTGTTGAGAGGAACGCCGCCAGCCAACGGAGGCAGTAAAAGAAATAGAACGACGCTCATCCACCTGCCCGCATGGCAGTAAGAGACAATATGCACGGAAAGAAGAAGGAAACCTAAACATTTTTTTTTTAAAGAAAAGACTTGCACTCTTACACACGCAAATATACAATTCTACCGAGGCATAAAAAAAAAGATCACCACCTCCGTCATCGTCCCAAAAGTGCGGAGAACAGCTGCTACCACCGAAGGGCAACGGGGGATGGAACCCACAAACCACCATTGTGGCGCATGACCGTCCAAAAAACAAAAAAGGGGGAAAAAAAAACAGAAAAATTAATAAATATGTTCCTGCAGTCCCATTCAATTCCAATCTTCCTCATAAATTTCTTCAAGAGGAAACCCACACAGGGGGGTAACACGCCGCGACCTCACAGGGCCAGAAAAATGCTCGCGACCAACGTCGCCGCGGTGACTGTCTATGACAGCAAGCTCCACCGGACCCTTCGCACCCGCACTGCCTTTCGCAGTGGCCCTCCCTCGGCCCGCCTCCAAGACAAGACGCATTTCCTCCGCTTCCTCCTCACTGTCGCTATTTTGACCGCCGTAAAGCAGTTGTTGACTTCGCTGGTCGCGCCGCCTGTTCTCTGCGTCGTCAAAACCACTATCATCTACGCTCAACAGCCACACCAGGTACTGCCCACATGCTTCCATGTAGAGGAAGGTACTCAATAGAAACGGGTATAGCCGGCGCATTGCCTGGCGCAGGGGTGTAGTTGGTACCCAGTCCAAGTTGGCGTCGTAGTACCGAGGTCTCAGCGTGGATCCGGCTCCCCTCTTGCCGCAAGAAAAAATGCTTGTAGTGGCAAAGGCGTTGCGCACGCCCTGCGGCGGGGGAGCTGCACTCAATGACATTTACCCACCCACCTTACTTCCCTTTTGTCTTGGTCCACAACTAACGTCAGTGCTCGCAGTCGCAGTTTCCTTCGGTTTGCTTATTTTTTTCCCCGGACCACCAGAGTGCCGTGGACGGGGCCGCAAAAAAAAAAGAGAAAAAAAAAGAGAAAGGGAGAAAAGAAGAAAGAAATAGTGAGGGGGTGAAAAGACTTTGCGGTGAGGTGGATATGGCGCGCCGACCGCAGCGCGGCCGGCGAACATCGGTGCAGACAAAAGGCAGGCAGAGCTGCGGAAACGCAACGTCAGTGCCGCCCACCAGAAACAACGTGACACGCATAAAATTACACTTAAATGTCGCCCAAAGTTAAACCATCAAGGAGAAGGCAAAGAGGGGACGTCAACAGGGAGACGATGGCCGTGGTGGCGGCGGCAGCCACAACAGAAGAGGCGGCGAGTCCCTCACTCCATTCATTGCACCTTCACCGCAGCAGCTCGGACCCGTAATGTTTATTGGCCGGACTGACGTCCTCATCCCCACGTATGCGTAAAGAAAAAAGATCAAGGACGACCACGCTGCTTCCGCCGCGAAGCCTTGGACAGCAAAAGTCTCCTCTCTTCCTCTACTTCAGAGGATGTGACCGAGGACGAGGATGGCGCCGTAGAATCGCTTTCTGATGCCTCCGATGAGTGCACAATAAAACCCGAGAGACTCGATGTGTCGTCCTCACTAAGCGCCTCACGCTCCTCTGTTGATGTGGAGGAGCGCAGACTGCTGCTGAGGGAGAGTCCCAACTCATGCGAGCAGGCAACGCACAGGCCAGTCTCAGAGTCCAACCTGGGCCCGTCGCACACCTCATGGCGCAGTGAGTGACAGTGCCGGCACTGGAAAATTTCCCCGCCCTGTTCGCCACAGCCAGCACACGTTAAATAAACCATCGCCGCTGGCGCAGGTAACAGTGACGGCACTGTTGTTGTCACGGTCGCGGTCGCCCCATCCGTCAGCTTTCTCGCCGCAGTTATGGTCTTAGATGGAGCGCCCTGCTGAGCTTCTTCCTCGGAGGGGGCGGCCGTGGTTGCAGGCGACACTGCCCCCTCCACCTCCCTGTCACTTGGCAAATCCGCCCTCATCACGCCTTCTGGGGATTGCCCGTAATCGCCCCCGGGCGCTCTCCCACGTTTTCTCGCCCCCTTCACGGGGCCGTCCACGCGGGCGGGGAAACTTGCCTCCGCACCGCCGCCACTACTCATTTCAGTTCTTGAACTGGAAAACTTCTGCTCGTCGTCGCCGGCGCACTCCGCGGCCAAACGAATGAGGGCCTGACCCTCGCGACGCACACGCTCCAGAAGCGCCATGTGACGCTGGTAGCACCGATCCGCCAGCCGCTGCTCCTTGTTGAGCAGCCGCAGGAGCGTTCTCTCGTTTGCCGTTAAGGCTGGCCCCGTCGCGTCCCGCAATGACGGGGAAGCAGGCGGCGCCAAAAGCTCTGCAAGAAACGCATCCAGCGCGGTTGGGATGCACTGCCGCCATCGCCCTACATGCCGCCCCTTCCGCCCGCTGGTGTCGTGATCCCCGCGTCGCCGCCCCGTCCCCGTAAGCTCCTCCTCCGGAAAGGCACGCTGCAGGAACGGCAGGACCCCCTCCACCCACTGCACCGCCTCCTCCTCCTCCTCCCCGCCCACGTCTGTCGGCCGCACCGTGTCACAAGCGGACTGCCTTGCCGTCGCACCGCCGTCGCCCCTCCAGCTTGCGACGTAGAGGTGGTACACAGTGGCAAGCGCACGCCACTGCCGCGGCGTCAGTTCTCGAGGCATCCAGCCCGGCGAACAGGCAGGCAAACGAACGTCCCGAACAAAAGAACAAAAAAAACGCCGACAGCAGTAGTCGCACGAAGCACGCAAAGCTCCGGCAGTGGCACTTGTTCTTTTACGCAGCCCTGGACTTGCTGCTGTTGCTTGTTTGTTTGCTTCTCCCGTCCACTGTAGCTGCGGCTTGTGCCTCGCCTATCCTTTGCGTGGCTACCACCGCAATGCAGCGCGGCCCAACGTCACCATCAAAAGAGGAGAGAATGCAACAAACGGTTTCAGGATGTAAAAATGCACCTTCTGAGGCCGCAGAAGCAGTGAGCGCGCAGCACGGCATGCAGGAGAGGGAAACACACAGGGGCAACATCATAGCGGTGATCACTGGAGTCAACAACTAAAAAAAAAAGAATTGTATCTGCAGCCCCTTTACACCCCTTCTCTCACGCTTTTGTAAACGCAACAATGGATAGGTGGGCGGTGGATGCAGCTCACACGTGCTTTTACATCCCTCTAATTATCCTGAAAAAGAAAAACGTTAGCATATATATATATGCGTGTCTCCTGCTTCACAGGAGACCCGCGGAGAGAAAAAAAGAATGGACCTCAAGGAACGAAGAAGGCAAATACAGAGATCACCCCCACTGCCAAAATGGATATCCCCTTCGCTGCTCCTCATGCCACTCCTCCTTCCCCCACCCCCCTTTAACGGCGTACGACACAGCGAGAAAGAAAAACCTCCTTTGAATTCCTTTAAGTCCCCAAAGACGCACGCAACCAAGTGTAGACTCAGCGACGGCGCCAGACTGTACAGTGGGAGAACCCCAATTGATAGCGCCGGACGTGGTCACGAATCAAAAACGCCTCTTCCGTCTCACTGAGGAGATCAAAGTTCTTCATAAGGATTTCCTTCACGGCATCCTCCGACCGCGGCCCACCGGGCAACCCGCCGATCCACTTGCTCTTCGGTGTCGCTCCCTCCCACCACGAGTACGGCGAGGCAAGTACGAGGATGCCATCCTTACGAAGCAGCTGCGGGAAGGCGTCCAGGAGCTTGCGTGGGTCCGGTACGCGGCAGAGGAGATTGGCCACGAGAACCCCGTCAAAGAGCTCCCCCGCGGGCACCTGATACCACGAGACATCGGCGTAACGGCTGGGTGGCCGCTTCTCCGCCCCCGCACCGTGATCCCCCTTCTCGAACAGGTCCATCGCATCCGCACGAAAAAACTGGCACCGCTTCGGGAAGGCTCCAAGTGGCACACGCACGTTACGGCTGACTTCCATGTCGCCCTGATCCGCTGCCGTGAAGGCTATCCGAGCACCGTGCTGTACTGCACTCTCCTTCAAGATCTCATTGGCAAAGTGAATAAAAGTCTCTGAGTAGTCAATCCCAATGACACTTCCAAAGTATTTGCTCATCTCCAGCACGGAAGCACCCGTGGCGCAACCAATGTCCAACGCACGCTTGTCTTCCCTCTGCGCCTCTGGCAGGAATTCCTTAAACTTCTGCGCCACCCTAAAAGGGAAATCAAAACTTTCGCTAATCGTGCGCAACCGCTGCGCAAAGCTGGTTCGAGAAGGAGTGTAATGAAACTCCATGTACTGCCGAGCACTGGCCTGAGTCTCATAAATCTCGTGGCTTTTCTGCGGCTCCTCACCGCCCGCGCTGACATCCCTCATGCCGTTTTTTTTCGTATTCCGCTTCGAAAGCAGGCACACCGTCGTCGCGGTAACTGCAGAAGACGCCACAGCCGCCACCGCCGCAATTACCACAAATTTATTCTGCTCCACTAAAATATTTTTCAGCTCCTTCAGAAAATCCATCATTTAGGCAATGCGTCTCCACAACTTCAAACAAGAAAAAAAATTATTCACCTCCCATACCCACACACACGCAAAC